TTTTAAATGTTAATTACATTGAAAGTATTGATAATTCTGTAATTGATAAGGACTAACTGAACTCAAATGGCAAATGTTATAACATTTGGAAAAAGGCAAAAGCATCTGGATGAATTATAGTAAAGGTTAATATTTGAGATGGAGTAAAATCTTTCATCAACTATTTTCTAATTCTCATCTCACTGTTTCATAAAATAAACATGACATAATTTCACATTAGCTTGAATAGAAGCAATTACAATTTGATATTTGGCTATTTCTAGTTATTTCATGTTTAGATTAAAGACTCATTTGTTATCAGGTATCTCCCTCCTTCAACTCTTCCTTCAGACAGCAAATCCATATTTGAAGTCTTGACAGAATGATCATATACCTCAGGGGATGCCCACATGGAACAGAAGACATTGGGAGAACATATTGCTCTGGAAGAAAGCAAGGAGAAGGAAGTCCTAAATGATCAAGATTAAATCTGAAATGACCAAGAAAATCCTAAAATTTGCCACATAAAACAGGAATTAACTAGAATAAGTTTTCCAGTAGAATGAAGGTCAAAATAGAAGATAAGTTCAGCAGAAGAAAAAGTAAGGAAATCCTATTTCTTGCACATCTGTGTTTTATAGCTAGAAAATTTGTCCCCATTCTACCTGGTTTTACTCCTCCCTCCCTGATTGCATTTTCCCATTCTCTTTTACTGACTTCTGTTTTTTCCCAGCCATTTAATATTGTTGTCCTCAAGGGTTCTGTCCTTCTGAACTTCTCCTCTCACTGTGTAAGCCTTTTTGAGCAATCTTCATTCCCATGGCTTCAAGTGTCATACTTATATAAACAATCATTGAAACCCATCACCAGCTCAAAAACAAATATCATCTTGCTACTCCACTGCTTCAAAAACTGTAAGTAGCTGTTATCTAAATTCATATGTCAAAGTCCTAGCCCCCAGTATCTCCAAATGTGACTGTATTTGGAGACAGCTCAGCAAAGTGGTGATTAAGTTAAAATGACATCATTAGGGTGGGCTTTAACTGAATACAACTGGTGTACTAATAAGAAGAGGAAATTTGGACACAAACATGAGCAGAAGGAAAATTATTTGAAGACACATGGAAAACACAGTCACTTACAAGCCAAGGAGAGAGGCCACAGGAGAAACCAAGCATTCTGATACCTTGGTTTCAGACTTCTAACCTCTAGAATTGTGAGAAAATAAATTCCTGTTGTTTAAGTCACTCAGCGTGTGGTACTTTGTTATGGCAGCCACAACAAACTAATACAGTCGTTTTTGAAATTAATTTCAAGTTTAACACACAAGTGCTATCCCCATCTCACACCTGCTTTTTTCTAACCTCATCCCCATACCTCATACTCAATGAGTTACCTGTATTCATTGTGCAGTTTATTTATACTGTCACCTTTACTCAGGCAGTTTCCTCATTTAAAATGCCTGTCCAGTGGTTTGTTATTCTAAAGCCCCCTATCCTTTAAAGCACATTTGCAAGCAATGCCTATTTAAATAATTTTAACATGTATTATGCATTCTCCAAGTACCAAGCACAATCATTATGGTAGGCCCAATAATAGACCAGAGAACATCACCATTTAATTGAGACGCCTTCTTTTCATAGCACCCTGTGCACCCTTCCATCATAATACTTATCACAAGAATGCAATCATTCTTTCTTCTCTGGAGGCCTTGATTTAGAAAAACAAAATGTATCCTTAGTAAGCATCTACTATGTACTACCTTTATTAAGCACTTGCTGTTCTAACCACTGCCTATGGATTACCTCATGCATCACTCATCACAGCCCTGTGAAATAGGCACAATTATTATCACAGTTTTACAGATGGAAGCTTAGCCTCAAAGAGGAAATTAAGTTGACACATGTGGTAAGTGCTAGGGCTTGTCATCAAGCCTAATTTGTCAGATTCCAATCATCTTATTACACAGCTTCTCCTGTGAACTTGTGAGTTTTTAGAGGGCAAGGGATCTTTATTCCCAACCCTTGGTTAAGGACCTCACACATAGTAGGAAAAAATTATTGAATTTAAGTGGATGAATAAATGATAACAGAATAAGACCTTTTAACATGAATGCCTTAAATTTAGTTGAAACAAATGAGGAATAACTGGGTTGAAAACTATTGGAATGATGGTTTCCATCTTAACCAGAAAGCTCTCTGGTTAAGAGCAAGGAATCACATATGTGGCTGCCCTCCCCTTAGCCTCTACTTGGCAGCTTTGTGAACTTGGTCAGGTTACTTCACTCCTTTGCACCTTGGATTTCTCTTTGGTGTCACAGGGTTATTTTTGACATTAATTGAGGTATTCCAGGTGACATGCTTAGCACAATGTCAGAAACACAGTCAGTACCAAAAAATGTTAGCTGTGGTTACTATTATTAGGTTGCAATTTCTCTACATAAAATGATCCTAGCAGCTCATCAGATGATTGTGAGAGAGAATCTATCAGAGCATTGGGGAAAAATGAACATGGTAACTTGTCCAAGATGTTCATACCATGGTCAGTAAAAAAAGTTTTGGCAACTTTTACCAAGTAATATGGCATGTGATATACTTATTAAATGTCTCTTGAATATAACAATGTATTTCAGATGATAATGTGAAAAATTCACAGATAGATTATAAAAGCAATCAAGATCACAGGTTTACTCCCATCTTGAGAGCCAACATGCATTTCTATTTTCATTTTTCCACTGATGACCTCTCTTTTCTCTTGGAGTTTAATGTCCAGCAAGTTTTGACTTTAAAATTTCTCCTCAACCATTATTTCAATTTGACATTATTCCTTTTTGGCAGCAGCTTTGCCAGATTTACTTCTATGATACACTTGATAAAATATAATATATTAAGAATGTAATAAAACAGAGGAGCTGGTAGTCAAGTCCAGATCTTGTGATTCACTAAACATTCTTAGAAAGAAAATACATAGCAAGCACTGTGCTAGGTTCTCACTCTCTATTCAGAACCCATTCTTATCCCTCCTATATAACACAGTACTGGAAATCTTATCCAAAATAGGCAGGTTAGAAAATAAAATAAAAAGCAAAGCAAAAAAAGAAGTAAATTCATTGTTTGCAGCAATATGCTCTTATACATAGAAAATCCTAAAGACTTCTCAAAAAAACTGCTAGAACTAATCAACAAATTCAGTAAAGTTGCAGGATACAAAGTCAATATACAGAAAACAATTGTGTTTCTATATATTAAGAAAAACACATCTGAAAATAAATAAATAAAATAATCCCATTTACCAGTGCACCAAAAACAATAAAGTTTTTAAGAGTAAATCTAAAAAAGGTGAAAAATTTGTACACTGAAAACTATAAGACTTGGATGAAAGCTACTGAGAAAACACAAACAAATGGGAAGAAATCCCATGTTCATGGATCCAAAAATTAATATTGTCAAAACATCCATATTACCCAAAGCTATCTCTAGATTCAATACAATCCCTATTAAAATTTCAATGGTATTTTTCACAGAAATAGAAAAACAATCCTGAAATTTGCATGAAGCCACAAAAGACCCCAAATAGCCAAAGCAATCCTAAGAAAGAAAAAAGCAGAATGCATCACATTTCCTGATTTCAAACTATACTACAAAGCTATTTTGAGTAATCAAAACAGTATGGTTCTGGCATAAAAATAGACACATAAACCAATGGAACAGAATCAAAAGCCCAGAAATAAACCCCCACATGTACAGTCAACTAATATTTGACAAGGAAGCTGAGAATACTCAATGGGGAAAAGATAGTCTCTTCAACAAATGATGTTGGACAATAACAACCTATGACATTGGTTTTGGCAGTGATTTCTGGATATGACAGCAAAAGTACAAGCAAAAAAAGTACATATAAATAAGTAGGACATCAAACTAAAAAATTCTGTGCAGCAAAAGAAACTCAACAGAAGAACAGGCAACCTACAGAATGGGAAAAAATATTTGCAAATTATATATCTGATCAGGGTTAATATCCACATTATATAAAGAACTCATACAACTCTAAGCAAAAAAACTAACAACCCAATTAAAAAATAGACAGAGACTGAACCTTAATGAATTGAAATGCACTGGAATGCAAGTTGGTACAGCCACTGAGGAAAATAGTATGCAGCTTCCTAAAAAAGTTAAAACTAAAAATATGATCCAGCAATTTCACTTCTGAGTATATATCCAAGGAAATAGAAATCAGGATCTCATGGAGATGTCTGCACTCTCACGTTCATTGCATCATTACTCACAACAACCAAGACATAGAAAACACCTAAGTGTCTGTCAATGGATGAATCGATAAAGACTGTGTGATATATGTACCATGGAATATTATACAGCCATGAGAAAGAAGTAAATCCTACCATTCATGACAATTTAGCTGGATCTTGAGGGCATTATACTAAGTGAAGTAAGTCAGACAGAGAAAGACAAATGCTGTATGATATCATTTACATGTGGCATCTAAAAAAATGACAAACTCAGAGAAAAAATAAAGTGGTTGTTACCAAGGGTTGGGGTGGGAGAAATTGGGAGATGATGGTCGAAAGGTACAAACTTCCAGTTATAAGATTAACAAGTTTGGGCACCTAATGTACAGTATGGTGCTTATAGCTACTAATACTGTATCAAATGTTGCTAAGAGAGTTGATCTTAATTGTTCTCACCACAAAAAAAGAAGTGATAACTATGTGATAGGATGCAGGTTGTAGCTAATATTATGGTGGTAATCATTTTACAATTTATAAATATATTTAATCAATACATTGTACACTTAAACTTACATAATGTTATGTGTCAGTTATATCTCAATAAAACTGGAAAAATATTATACTATCAGAAGTTGATTCTTAGATAAAAATCTAGTTAGCATTGTTTGATTTAAATAAGGACAAAGAATAAGAGGTGGTCTTATGCTCATATTCACAAAAAAAGCACCACTTACTTTTGATGCAGGAACAAATTCAACACATTCCAGCCACTTACTTTTGATGCAGGAACAAATTCAACACATTCCAGCCATATGGTTAAAAATTACTTTCCACATATTGCACATTTTCTTCCTTGAGAGATTGTTTTCTGACCTGTGGGTACCATCCTATGGCCTGCATTGAGAAATGATTCTTTTCTGCTAGCTGATTCATTACAAATCTTGATGTTATTTCCTAGATTAAAAAAGAATTTGGTTCCTCAGGTAATTTTCAAACTAGTTGTTTTATATTACATTGATCCCATTAGATTAGCTTCTATTTTAGCTTGTTTTGTCTATTAAATTAAATTTTCATCATATATATAATGAAGTATATTGTCAATGACTGGTATTGTAGATAAGTTTAGTTTTCAACAATATAAGAAAGGAAACTTATTTTATTGTAACATTTCTATGTCTCTTATATACAAAACTCCAAGTTATAATAAATTTACAATATTAGATAAAGTTTAGTTCAAATTTTGTACCTCTCATTACAATAAACAAGGACTGTACAGATATTCAGACTGAACTTGAAAATTGACTCTATCATATTTACTACTGTCTAAATACTTACTATTGAAATTGTGGATTATGAACGAGTAGAATTTGTATCACATGGAAATTCATTAAAAATTCAGACTCTCAGCTGCATTCCAGACATACTGAATCATAATCTGCAATTAATAAAGTTCCTCATGTAATCCCTTTGCACGTTAAAGTTAGAGATGCATTAGTCCTTCACTGAGTAATTCAATAGAGCCATAATGATAAATAGTACTGATTTATATTAACCAAATCTCTGAATTCAATCTGTATTAAATCTATCCACATAGCTATGTCCAGAAACTTCATGAAAGGTAATAATAATACTACAATGTTAAATAATAAAAGGAGTGGTGAAGAAATATAAGCTGACTTTCACCAGGACCATCAACATCACCACCTTAAAGTTAAAAAATATTTTTAAATTATATAATACTTAAAATTAAATCCTCACTGACCAAGCAAACAAAATAAACATTTGATTTAATGCACTAAATGCCTGCCCTCCCCCATTGTCTCTGCCAGTACCTGGAAGTCCTGTATAACTGTTACACAAACACTGTATTTATTTTAGTAAGTGTGCAGAATTTTTTTCTGGCCAAAATGAAGAATTTTCCAGTGGTATTAAAGTAGTCCACATCAGGCTCTGACAAGAATCTTTAGGAATACCTACATATATACATACATAATCTTTCACTTATTCACCCCAATTAAAATCTTCTAAAATAACAAGATTTTACAGATTGCTTTCTCTCTGCTACTTATTATTCTATCCCTTTCACTTAACAAGCATCTGGGAAAGCTGCCTTTATACAAAAAACACCCTTGAGTTTTTCCTTAAATGTATGATCCTTCAACAGCATAGCCTCCTACCACTTAAGCTCATTCTCCTGGATGGTTATATTTTATCAGAAAGGATGACATAACTGAAGTCATACTTTCAGAAAAAAATTACCTTTTCATACTAATATTACTGGGACTACTAAATTAGATGTTTATTACCACTTCTCTTTATCTATTTATACAGACCATAGCTTGTGATTCTGAACAAAATATTGGTTTTAGAGGTAAGTTTTTAGCTACAAGAATTCAAATTATAGGTTCTCACTATAAAGCTTCAAAAAACTAATAGATGGGCTGGCCAAGTGGCGCGTTGGTTAAGAGCTGGCTTGGGATTCCAGCTCTGAGCAGTAGAGCCCAAGTTTGGATCCCACATGAGGGCCAGTGACACTGCCCTCTACAACTAAGATGGTGAACAACAGCTGGACCTGGAGCTGGGCTGCTGTGAATCACCGGCGACACCGTAGGCTTCAGTGAGGCTGCAGTGGGCTGCCATGAGATACCATGTGTGGCCAGCAGCCAGCATGAGTGGCTGGCAGCAGATGTGAGCTGCCAAGAGCCACTGTGAGCGGCCGCCCAGAGACTGGTGACCAATCTGCCTCATCCAGGAAGAGCGCAATGATAATGCCAACATGGGCCAGTGAAGTAATGTCCTCCACAACTAGACTGAAGAACAAAAGGACAGCAACTTGTCTGTTCCCCTTCCCCCAATTCCCCAGCACTGTTCCCCTCCCCTAATTCCCCAATAAAAAAATCTTAAAAAAAAACTAATAGGTGAGGATTCACTTTCCAAAATACCAGATAGCAGAAGAATTTGCTGAAATACATGGGACCTATAAATAGGTCACAGTTCACACAGTTCACTTTTTCAATTTATGATTTCTGGAACCAAACATGTTTGTTGCACTCAGTATGTCTCTTGACAACTTTTACGTTACCCATTATTTATATTCTTCTACTTGCTGCCAATGTGCTACTTTGGAAGAATATCATATACAATTGAAATATAAAATTATTACTTGAAAATAAGTATATATAAAGTAAGATAATACTGGCATGCCCGATAATATCTTTTAGGACACCTCTTTAATACATGCAATGTATTTTTGAGAATATACAACTTAATGGTGGCCTAATTCCAGTGTTATTTAAAAATCAAGAAATCTTTCATGGACAAATAAATTGTTCCTTTTGAAGTTTATATGCTATTTTGTTACAATATTTGTTAGCTAACTATATGTAGGTCAGAAATTTTCCTATGTTTGAACCATCAAGATTAAAATTAGTTTCAGGTGCATTCTTTTATTTTTCCTTACACATGATGTTTTAATTTGAATTATAAAACTATCCACACACAAATTATATTCATATAAAAATACATAAAATTTAAAAACAAATATGAATCCTTAGAAAGAACGACGAATTTTGGAACTGTTGTATGATCACATGTTACTCTGTGTATAATAGGCACTAAAATATGGCATCAAGAGTAAAGATTCTGAGTCAGAGTCAGATAGGCGAAAGGTACAAATCTAGGTTCTATGATTTATTAGCTGTGTGACCCTGTTTGAACAAGTCCTTAACTTCTCTGATCTTGGATACTTCATCTATAAAACAAGGATGTTTTTCTAATACTACCACATACAGTTCAAAGAATTAAATTAGATAATGTGGGTAAAACTCTTAGTCTGGCATCTAATGATTCAGTATATATCCTGGCTAACATTTTGTTATAATCTAGTTATCAACTTAAAATTTAGTTCATATATCTCTGAGGTGAAGAAAAATGTTATAAAGTATTAACCAAGACATAGCCTGAATCAAAACCCTATATTTTTTGGCATTCCAGGTAGTTTAATCAGTAATGTTAACCAAATATCCAGTAGAAATGACTTTTACTTTAAGTACAAATATGAAATGTATAATAAATTTGTCACCTTTCTATGAAAAGTTCTTAGAGATGATTTTAAACGTACCCAAATCATTCATGCCTTCAACGGCACTCTTGTAAGACTACTACCACATTGGGTTAACTGCTAATCCAGTCACATCCACAAACCAGAACCTCATCCAATCAGGGACTACTTTGCTTCCTTTTCCTTCACCTCAGATTCTAAGGGATTAAACAAATTAAATACTGTAGTTTTTAAAACCATTTACAATTAAACTCAAATAAAATATTTTTCCACACAAGAGTAGAAAACAATACTGTTTGTGGAAATACAGGTTGATTCTTTTGAAGGGAATTTGAAAAGAGCTAATCAATTTTAAAAGATGACAATTCTCTGACCAAAAAAATTTCACTCATAGGGATAACATAAACATAAAAATTTTGCTATGAGGATGGTTATTGCAGCCTTTTCTATAAGGACCAAAAAGCCAGGAAATAATTAATAACCTAAACAGCTAACAGTAGGAAAATGGCTAAAAATATTTTGTGTAATCAAAATGGTATAATCATATGTCAGAATATTATGTATTCATCAAAAGTAGAGATCATAGATTTAGTTTTTTATTAAGTGGAAAGATATTCACAGTATTTTGAGGAAAAGAACAAGTCTCTAGTAAGTGGAGTTTGAACTCATCTTTAAAAAGATCTTCTGGATGCATGGAAAATTCTAGCAGAATAAATATCAGAGAGGATAATGGTAACATGTGCATACTAGATTGCTGAGTATTTTTATCAACTTCTATTGCCTTTTTCCCCTGATTTCTCTAAATCAGCTTGTATTACTTTTGTAATGAATTTTTACTCAGTGTGGCATTGAAACTAATTTTTATTTTCTTCTTTGTTCATCTGTGTTTTCTAGTTTTCTACGGTAATCATACGAGGTCTGACAATTAAGTTCGCGAACTTGTTGGAACAATGTTGCTAACCTTTTTTTTATATCAGAGAGACTATTCATTATGAATTTGTATGAAATGGACAAACAGTTAACCAAGTTTACTATTTGCAAGAGCTGAAAAGGCTGAGTGAAAAATTAGACGACCTGAACTTTTCGCCAACAATTCATTATTCTTATATCCTGACAATGCACCAGCTCACACAGCACTGTCTGTGAGGGAGTTTTTAGCCAGTAAATAAATAACTGTATTGGAACAACCTCCATACTCACCTGATCTGGCCCCCAGTGACTTCTTTCTATACCTTAAGATAAAGGAAATATTGAAAGGCAGACATTTTGGTGACATTCAGGATCTTAAGGGTAACACAATGACAGCTCTGATGGCCATTCCAGAAAAAGAGCTCCAAAATTGCTTTGAAAGGTGGACTACGTGTTGGCATTGGTGCATAGCTTCCCAAGGGGAGTATGTCAAAGGTGACCATAGTGATATTCAGTAATGAGGTATGTAGCATTTTTTCTAGGATGAGTTCGTGAACTTAATTGTCAGACCTCGTATATTATTTATGCAACAAGGGAAAATGTTATTTAAATAAATAAATCACTGAATAACATTGATTGTTTCCTGCATCCTACACAATTCTTGAAAGTCTTAAAACAATCCTGCACGTTCAGATATAGACTTTAAAAGGACCTGAGAAGTTCAAATTCATGATGGAGACTCACACTCATGGAAAAGTCTGTAACCTTTAACTCATCTGTCACCAAAAGATACACAAAGAGTGTCCTCTAATATGCTTTCCTATTCCTTCTTTTAATATCACCAACTTATTTGACTAAAGTGAACATGATTTCTGGATTATATTCATTCATCCACTAGGAAGGGGGTCAAGTGAAAAGGGGATGGAAGAGGCAAAGACCCCAGTAAGAACAAATTAATACATCTTTAGATAATACTAAAAAATACTTGGGAGATGAAAGTAAAAACAAATTCCTCTTTCTCCCTCTTTTTTTTTCATCCAACAAAATGTTTCTATTTCCCTGAATTTAGTCACTCTGGAAATCAGGTAGGATTGCAAGTCAAAGACATTATGTATAGGATCCACATGCAAATGGACTAGGGTTATATTAATCATTTGCTGGCTTGTCTGGAATGCTTTAAAAGAAAACTCTTTAAAACTTTAATCATGGCTTTAGTTTGAAGACCTGAGGGAATGATATAATGCTTCACCTATAGACTCCAGACCTCCTCTTGTTTCATAGCATTAACAGTCTGCTTCAGAAACAGTGGGTTTCCCTCAAAGTAGAATTCCCTCAGCTTCAGATCCTGAAACTTTCAAAACAAAATAAAAACTTCATTTCACAATGAAATTACAAACCTCTCCAAGGCTACATCTTCAATAAAATCAGTATAAAATTGATTTACTTAGGACTTATATCCCATGTTAGTATTTTAACAGCAGGTCATACTCTAATTGTTAGAAGCATAAGAATCTTCATGCTGGTATGAATGGCAATGACCTTAGAAGTCACTGGTGGCATACCCTATAATAGACAGCTGAAATAAATTGTTCAGGATCATAACACTTGTTAGTGATATAACAGGGATTAATTAATCAAATGCTAGGAATTTTTGCAAATAATATATTTGTTAGAAAACCAAGAATGATAAAAAAAATAACACTCTAATAGATACAAAAATCCAGGTCTTAAAGACTGCCTTATGATCCATTTTATGTTCAGTGAGGAAGGTAAGAAAAACAGAGGAACATTAAAATGTTCTTATTATAGGGTGGCCAGATGGCTCAGTTGGATAGAGTGCATGCTCCTAACAACAAGGTTGCCAGTTTGAATCCAGCATGGGATGGTGGGCTGCACCCCTGCCTCCCCAGCCCTTCAACTAGATTGAAAGTGGCGACTGGACTTGGAGCTGAGCTTGTGCCCTCCACAACTAAGATTGAAGGACAACAACTTGACTTGGAGCTGATGGGTCCTGGAAAAAATGTTCCCCTTCCCCAATTACCCAACAATGTTTCCTTCCCCAATTCCCCAATAACAATCTTTTTTTTAAAAAAGTTCTTGTTATAACCTGTTGTGCACAGTGAAAATAAAAAAAAAAAGGAAAACACAATTCACAAGGATACTAAATCTTCTATGAAGAAAACCTAAATTCAACTGGAGTCTACCCTTTGAGAAGAAAAATAAGAAATTCTCTTACATTAATTTTATGTCTTGCCTCCCAAGAACTCATGTAGTTTTCAAAGTTAAACTCATTTAGGGAGTTACTTTTCTGAGACTTAGCTTTATCTGTGAAGTGGGGAAAATAAGACCTATATTAAGGTAAAACAGTTCTCTGGAAAGAAAAAAAAAATTCTGATTTGTGGCATGTTTTTATTCCATGCTGTAAATACTCCTACCATGATTGATTCCAGTCACTGAACACAGAGTTGGGAAGAGACATGGAAAAGCAGCTCTTGATTTTCTGCAACTCACATTTATGGTAGAATTAGAGCTATTTCCCTGATTTCATCTTAGGGTTTGAAAACATAATTATTTTTACTTAAAACACCTTTTCAGGGCATTGTGTCATTGATCTCAAAAGACTCAGGAAATTTCTACAACATGGACAAGATATTAAAAGAAAATACAGAGCTCAAGGCTACATTGGAATCACCTTCTCTCATAGTCTCACAACAGACATTCTGACTTTCTTAATTCCATTCCCTGTTATTTATCAATGGAGAGCAACCTAGAGAGTTGAATGCAATGGTAGCCCAAAGTCAGTGCTGGGAGTGCTAAAATGAAAAGGGCACTTCACTTCTTATGCTTAAAGGAACCATCATTTTTTCCTTTCTGTCATAAAGAACAACATTCCATAATTTATACATAAACTCACGGTTCTGTTTTTCAAAACTGATACAAACTTGAATGTCTTGGTACACATAAATAGCATTAACATACATGAACCTCATCTCAAATTTGATCCTGGTTCAAAGAGCAAACATTTCTCTTTAGGGTTCATGTTTCTCTTCCTCCAAATCCTGTCACTATTCTTCCATCAAATATGGTAATGAGTTACCCAGCTTGTTAACTTACTACATATAAAGTACCAGAAAGAATTTATCTTAATGAAAAATTAATTAATTAATGAAATTTATTAACATGTGTTTTGCAGAGGTAAGTAAGTTTCAATAACCTGAAATCACACAATCTCTCAAGGTCCATTCTGAATATTTCCCAGAGCAACATTTTTTCATACCTTTTCTCTAAATGCACTACTGGTTTCCTGTCAGCCTAGCTTCTTAAAAGAATGATATTCTCTGCTATTGTCACTCCAGTAACATAATCAGCTACATTCTCTTCTACTAATGAAATGTTGTTATAGCTTTTCAGAGTTTCTTTGAACATGCCCACTCAAACCACCAAGATTATAAGTTTAATTTCAACTGGAACAATTTTGCCGCTCCCCCCAAAAAAGGGGTCTACAGATATTTTTGGTTGGCACAACTGGTGAGGTATCTATTTATTAAAGACCAGGGAGGCAGCTAAACATCCTACAATGCACAGAATATCCCCAACAACAAAGAATTACCAGGCCCAAAATAGTATTGATGTTGGAAAAACCTGGTTTAGAGGCACAAGATCATAAACATTCACTGATACATGCAAACATTCTCCCATCTTATCTGGAGAGAGGATTGGCAGCTGGAGGGAAATGTAAGTTCAAATGAGAGTTTTTATTTTTTTAAGATGAAGAAGACTTAAGCATGTAGAAGGTAAGTGTCAACATAGAAAAATTAACTTGAAAAAAAAAGAAAGAATAATTGAAAGCAATGATCAGGTAAAAAATACAAAATTATCTTTGAATATTAACATCTGCCAATTGAGTTGCAAAGCAATGTGTCAGTGTGGATGGAGGCATGGAGAAGATAGTGAAAATTTGAATATGCTATAGGTTTTGGAAGAAGAACCTGGCCAGGGACAAGCAAAAGTACTAAACAGAGGTACTGAGGGACCCACTGAAATCCACACATTTATTGTGGTCCCTGTCCAAATATTGTGTGCTTCTGTTTAGTACCCAACAGCCCAGATCCAACATTAAGAATCTGGAGAGGGCCGGCCGAGTGGCGCGATGGTTAAGAACTCGCTTGGGATGCCAGAGGGCCCCAGTTTGGATCCCACATATGAGGGCCAGTGACACTGCCCTCCACAGCTAAGATGCTGAACAACAGCTCAACCTGGAACTGGGCTGCCATGAGTCGCCGGCGACGGCATAGGCTGCAGTCCCTGTGGCAGTGGGTTGCCATGGCCTACCGTATGTAGCCAGCAGCCAGCGTGAGTGGCCAGCAGCCGCAGTGAGCAGCCGTCCAGAAGCCGGCGACTCATCTGCCTCACCAGAGAAGAGCGCAATGATGGTGCCAACTTGGGCCAGTGAAGCAACATCCTCCACAACTAGATTGAAGAACAAAAACGACAGCAACTAGTCTGTTCCCCTTCCCCCAATTCCCCCAGCAATGTTCCCATCCCCCCAATTCCCCAATAAAAATCTTTAAAAAAAAAAAAAAGAATCTGGAGAAAGACAGGCCAGAATGGATTGGCATGAAATATTCAAACTGATGAAAAGCAAGGACCTACAATGATTACTCTACCAAGCAAAGCTATTATTTAGAATCAAAGGACAGATAAAGAGCTACCCAGGAAGGAAAAAGCTAAAGGAGTTCATCACCACCAAATAAGTATTACAAAGCATGTTAGAGAGGTTTCTTTAAGATTGAAAAAAAGATAAAAGATATAAATAATAAAATATCAATAATGACATATCTATCAACAATACTTGAAATGTAAATGGATTAAATATCCCAATTGAAAGATAGGGTGGCTGAATAGATAAGACAAGAAGACCTTTACAAATGCTGCCTACAAGAGACTCACTTCAGATTGAAAGATACACAGACTGAAAGTAAAGGGATGGGAAAAAGATGTTTCATGAAAGTGGGGGGAGAAGCTGAGGTAGCAATACTTACACCAGACAAAATAGACTTTAAAACAAAGGCTATAACAAGAGACAAAAAAAAAGACCAAGTATTCCCACTTCTGGGTATTTATAAAAAAAAAAACAAAATACTACCTCGAGGGGACAAATGCATCCACATGTTCATTGCAGCATTCTTTATAGTGGCCAAGATATGGAGGCAGCCTCAGTGTTCACTGATGGATGAATGGATCAAGGGGAGGTGGTACATATATACAATGGAACATTGCTCTGCCATGGAAGGGAATGGGCTCTAGCTATTTGCTGTGGCATGGATGAACCTATAGAGTTTTATGTGGAGTGAAGTATGTTAAACAGAGAAAGACAAATGCAGTGTTATTTCACTTATATGTGTAATCTAAAGAATAAAATAAAAAAAAACAGAAACAAACTCATAGATACAGAGAATATTTTCATGGTTTCCAGGTGGGAGCAAAGTAGGGGTGAGTGAAAACGGGGAAGGGAGTGTAATATCTCTAGCCTTGTTCTTTTTTCTTAAGATTGCTTTGGCTATTCAGGGTCTTTTGGGATTTCATACAAATCTGATGGGTCTTTTGTTCAATTTCTTTAAAAAATGACACTGGGATTTTGATGGAGGCTGCATTAAATCTGTATTGCTTTGGGTATGTTGAATTAACTATATTGATTCTTCCATTGCACCGACATGAAATGTCTTTCCATTTCTTTGTATCTTCTTCAATTTCTTTAAAAAATGTCTTATACTTTTCATGGATAGGTCCTTCACACCCTTTAAGTTTACTCCTAGATATTTTATTCTTTTTGCTGCAATTGCAAAAGGAATCATTTTTTCATTTCTTTTTCTGAAATTTTATTGTTAGTTTATAATAATGCAATGGTACTATAGAGAACAATAATCAAAACAGCATGGTATTGGCAGAAAAGCATTCTCTCAGAACAATGGAATGAATTGAAAACCCAAAAATAAACCTCCATATACATGGGCAGATAATTTTCAACAAAATAGCCAAAAACATACAACAGAGAAAAGAAATTCTCTTCAATAAATGGTGCTGAGAAAATAAGAAAGCAACGTGCAAAAGAATTAAACAAGACTGCTGTCACCATATAACAAAATTAACTCAAAATGGGTCAAAAACCTAACTATAACACCTGAAACAATAGACTGCATAGATGAAACAGGTACTAAACTTATGGACCTTGGGTTCAAAGAGAATTTTATGAATTTGACCTCAAAGTCTAGGGAAGTAAAAGCTAAAATCAATGAATGGGACTATATCAAACTAAAAAGCTTCTGCACAGCAAAAATAACCATCAACAAA